AATAATAAATAATAAATAGAATATAATGTTATATGTTCGATAAATAAATAATTAATTATTAAATTATATTTATATAATTTAGACAATGTAGGAAATATTTTAATAATTTAATGTGAGAAATGTAGGTATCACTCTAGATACATAGCTTAGGTTAAAAAAATGGGAACTTTATAAAAATAAACATTATAAATATGATATGTAACGTTTTATATTATAAAGTATTAATAATTCTTACATATCTTAGTCTCCCTTTGGAGCTCCTTGCTCCTTGTCTTCTGCCAAATAAATCGAATCATGTCCTGCAATTATATCAGTCTTCAAATTTGGAATCAATGTGAGAAATGTCAAACTATTTTTGAAATTTAATGGTAACTGCTGAGGTCTCTTTGGGTTTTTTCAAAAAACGCTCTATTAGGAAAAGATTTCCACACTCTTATTTTTCGTTTCTCTCTCCAACTGATGTGGGATCTCAAAGTCCACCTTCCTTCTGGGTCCAACATCTTTGCTGGTACTCATCCCCCTCTCCAATCTATGTGGGACCCCCCAATCCACTCCCTTTGAGGTTCAGCCTTCTCGCTGACACACCGCCTGGTTTCCACCCCATTCGAGGCTTAGCCTCCTCGTTGGCATACTGTCTAGTGTCCACCCCCTTCAAGTTAGCACACTGCATGGTGTCTACCTCTTTCGGGGCTCAGCTTCTTTGCTAGCATATCGCTAGATATCTATCTCTAATACCATTTGTAACCGACTAAGCCCACCACTAGTAGATAATGTCTTCTTTAGACTTTTCCTTTCGGGATTCCCTCAAGGGTTTAAAAACGCATTAACTAGAGAGAAGTTTACATGCACTTATAAAAAATATTTCGAAGTTTTTCTGTTTGATAATCTGCAGAGTAATCTGCAGAGTAGACCAGTTGATGAATGGATGATACAAGGGAGAAGATATTATTATCATTCACTCTCTTCTTTAGCAACCATCAACGCGAGAGTACAGCTTCTCATTCTGTAACCAAAATGCTGTCGAAATCAACAGCACAAGACAACCTCGTCCCACAGCAATGTCTGTAACGAAAATGCTGTCGAAATCGACAGCATAAGACAACCTCGTTCCACAGCAAT